AGTCAGACCGAGTTTCACCGTTGCGTACCCACCGTACCTCGATACCTTAACCTCTGGTGACCGTTTCACAATACATTCGGTTTGATAACATACATGTATCTGGATGACAGACGCGATTTCCCTTCCGGGCACCATGTACGGGCATAGGCCTTTTATATACTAACGATGTGGACCGTGGCGGTCGCCTTTGCTCATACACTGCGCCATCGGCGGGCTATTTCATCTACAGCAGGTCCTATTGCCTGGACGGAACCTCAAATCTTTGCATTTAGCTGCTCTGGGGCATATTACTTGCGAACCAGCTTAGCCCCGTCGTTCTCACCGATTTGCTTCCCACGCTACAAGAGATATCCAAGCCGCCGTAGACCGTGGAGGTCGCCCTTGACTCATAAGATTGCGGAATTGGGATGCAGAGGGAGGCGGAGGTTCCTCCCGGCGGCATGTCGAAGTCCTGAGGAGTTTTTCTTTCTCGAGATCTTGGCTTGAGTGCTGGTTCATACTATCTATCCTCACTCGATTTCGTCTTCCTCTCGGGTTACATTTCGGTCCGTCGCTGCCGGCAAGTCATTTTCCCATCACCTGACGATTTTCGTTTGATTCATCTCCAAATAATGAAAGCAGCAGGTTGTCGCGATGTGTTGGGATCGGCCATGTCTTTTTTGAAAGAAAGGGTGGTTGGCTGATGATTCGGAGCCTTTCACCTTCGATTTGAAGAATTCGAGCGTCAAAAGTCTTGCTCACCTTGGACAATTCATTCCAGGGTGTCAAGGTCATTGACGCATGGTTCCCATTTGCATCTAATTGCATTGTTCGGAATCGATGCAGCACATAACTCGTTCGATTCGGGCTCGGCCAATAGGTTGGCGCATTTCGTTTTTTCTTTCTTCTTTGCTTGGAGGCATGTGGCTGGTCCTCAAAGTTCTGCAAAAGCTAACAGCACCGATGTACGACACAAGAGGCCGGTAGAGCTAGGTACGCGTCTACTACCCTGCCAGCATTTCTGCCAGCACGTCTGCGACATCCGCCACCCCTGCACCCACGTCCCTCCTTGGCGGCATCAACGTACAGACGTTCACATTCTCTCTCATGCATCATTCTCCACCTCGCCGCTGCTTCTGGGCTGACCCTGACTCCGATTGCCACACCATAATCTGTGCCTATCAATCTCTACACACTCTCGATCGTCGAGGCTACCAAGAGACTGCGATGGATTGTGAAGGTTCTGCTTGATTCCCATGTCCTACTCGCAGAGCGAGAGCGTGTTCGACTTGACCAGTTCCTTTCTCATGCAGGTACTACGCTTTCATTGTTTACATTCGGCTGAACATGTAGTCAGGCTTGTGCTTCCTCAACTTCACTCTCGAGTCTCTCTGATGTAAGTCTCGAGCGCCGCCGTAGGCCGTGGAGTTCGCTCTTGACGCATCCTGTACGTAGGTGCTTGAGGACGGTTGTAGAGGAAGGGTCGGTTCCTCCCGGCGGTATGTTGGGATAGGAAACCCGTTTTCTTCTTCCTCGTGTCCGGCTTGATAGCTTTTAATTGGCTTCGTTTTTCTCTCGGGTTGCATCACCTTACCAATACACGGAGGTGTCTGCCAGTAAGTATTCATTTTCGCATGTAACAAAGAAATCGAGGCTGAAACCTCAAGTGTTCGATTCTGGCGTACAACCTAGCTGCATCATCATGGGGACTGCCCAATGCCGTCAGCTATTTCAGCGTTCGGTAGTGACGTCTCAGTTATGTCTGGCCCGTCCGTATCCCTGGCCGCGGCTGCGACCTTGGATTCAGGATCTGGGTTTAGATGTACAGTTTCTAGGCCCAGGAGAATATCTTGCAAACAGTCCAACAAATCCTGGGGAGAGTCGGCATCTGCCGAAAGTGTTGATTCGTAAGTTGTGAATGCCTCTGTTAGTTTTTGACGAGCGATAGGTTCGCTGATCCAAGCATAGTGCTTCTTTCCCCGGCGGTCACCCTGTACCCCAGAATATCCATCCAACAACTGCGAGCGGACGATGACATTCAGCAGCTCTCTGGACCGTGCTGTAGCGAGCAGTGCCTGAACGCTCTCCACAAATCGGGTTTGGTATGAAGACTTGCGCGCCGGCCTGAACGATCCGAATTCCAAACCCTTGTCGATTAGTAAATTCAGCGTCTCGATAGCTCTGTAGGGCATTTCGGTTGTCGACGAACAGTGCTGGAGAAATTCCGCGAGAAGACCAAGTTTTGCGTCCATGATGTCCTCCGACAACCGACTTCGATCGTGCTTAGAACGCTCTGTGCCTGAAGGGAAGATTCCACGGCTGACTAAAGCCCTGAAGTCCTCTTCGATGATGTCGATACGCAGGTGCATAGTCGAATGCACCTCTTTCAAAATCGCCATTTTGATGAGAGCGATAGTAGAGATGTAGTATTCCCGGGAGGACATTGCTTCTAAAGCCTCCACATAACATCCAATGGCCTTAGTTGTGTGTGGGTTTCGCAAGGGCCCGCACAACCCATGGGCTGCCAAAGTCCAAAATGAGCTGATCAAGTCCGCCCTCCGGCTTTTGTCTCCGTACCCATGGAGGGAGATGGTTGGAGGAACGCAATGCCACGCATAATCACCTATACCACTCCTCTCTAGAAATTGTGATACAGCACTGTCCGAACCGCGCCGACTGAGGTAATGGATTATGCCAGTCGGTATGGCGACGGAGGCCATCGGCTTCCAGAAAGAACACAACTGGGCCACGACAGTGTCCTTCCAGAGAAAGCCAGGTTCCAGAGCCGAATAATCAAGACGTTCGATATCGTTGAGACTGTAGACAAGTTCTTCTTGGACGGCAATGTATGGGATCGAACTAGCGATCCTAATTGTTGCTAGGGTTTCGTCCCATTGATATGGGGGAGAATCCAAGTCGGCGGAACTGTTGAGGTACTGGAACAGAATTGTGTGGGGGATGATATCTGGAAGGCGTCGGACGAACGCCAGCTGCTCTGCAGGTCGAGATGGGATCGACAAATGCGGGAAAAATCCGCAATGCCATCCCACGAACGCTAAAAAGGAAGGGGTAGGCATCAGAGGAGGTTTGTGGTCGTCTGTGCATGATGTGCAGCTGGTTTGACAGTGGGCCAAATACAGTTGGTGTTGTTGAAGAGCAACACTGATGGCACAAAATGTACTCCATTTCATCATCGCTTCCGCAGAGATAACATAATGAAACGGCCTCTCCGGTGCTGGCAGTGTATACATCCGCGAGGGACGGCTAGGGTTTACAGCCCCGAAACGATATGCCCAGAAACGGTCAAAGGCCACCGGAAGCTCGGAGTCCTGTGTTTGACTTGACACAGGTCTGGCCACACTTGCGACCGCCCACAGCGCTTTGTAACAGGCAATTCGACGACGCAGGCCGGCTTCTGGAGATAGATTTCCCTCCAGGGTGCTGGTGTACAGTCCATCTATGCGCGAGCATAAGTGAACATCACGACGATTTGCCAGACGTCGGATGTGATCGCAATAGGTTTTCCGCTCTCCCCTGGGTCCCCATAATGCATCGGGGAGAGCATCCACAAATGTTTCCAGTTCAATGTCGTCTGCGAGGGACTTGACAGTCCAAACGAGAGCACGGTAATCTCGATCCCGCCGGGCGGGAGAATCACCAGTGGCGCTTCGGGTCATCACTTCGACCATGGTCTTGTTTTTGAACTGATCCGTTTCCATAGCCGAATCGGTGTGAAGGAGGCGACTGGCCCAGACGATCCTCATGCGCTGAAGCATGCGCCAGTATGCCCCAGAGAGAGGTGTGCGATACGGACAGTCCATGTATAAGAGGGGTAAGAAGGTGAGGATGTAGTACATTGTGTTGACGAGAGTAAGGAAGGCGGCGGCGATGGCGGCCATGATTGTGCTCACCGGGATGAGGAAGAAGACGAGACCGGCAAAGAAGAAAAGGAGGGAGGCATGTAAGAGGAGTGGGATGGTCTCCACCACCGCATGCATATTGAATCTCCTCATTCCGTAGTATAGATAGGAGTATATTCGGGCGCGTATCAGAGGAGCAGAGCGCATGTCGGCCTTATGAATAAAGTCCCTGGCCCATTGCTCTACAAGTGTCGCGACCAAGGCACAAGTAAGACTGAGACCGAGGCTGATAAACCAAAGCGCATTGCAGAAGAGGGATGTTGGGGACGGCGTGAAAGCAGGGGATGGGGAGATTGAAACTGCTGCGGTGCCATTGCATCCAGACGCTAGCTGCTGCGAGATCTGGGTAAGAAGTCTGACGGTTTGATCTCCCGAGTCAGGGCTGAGTGTTTTGTAGCTTTCCATGAGGAATGCGGTCAAGCTCGCGAAGAAAAGACCCGCCTGCGAGCAGCGTTAGTCAGGCAAGTACTGTGGTATCTTTCGCAACTCACAAATATAAGCATCCCTTTCATATCGTTCTTCCAGCTCTCGACCAGAGACTTGTCGTACTTCTCTGCCTCGGATATGTACACTGCCCACAGCTTGGCAGCCGCGGCCTCATCGCTCGGATCGGTAGCTTTTAATGAGAACTTAGACACTGTTTTTGATGAGATGAAGGTGGCGTACCTTCATGTTTTGTCCTGCCTTTCTGCTTGTCGCTCATCGTGATTTGAGACCGAAGAGACGTGATTTGTGGGCGTCGAAATTGGGCAGATGAGTGTTAGGAAGAAGAGGGTCACGCGGCGTGACAACGTGACGCTCGCTTTCTTTGCTTACTGTTTCTCACGACCATTAGGCCTCAGTTCAGATCGTGAAACGCCGCCCCCCATCCATCCATGGCATACACAACCTGTTCGTGTTCGGGGAAACATAAAGCAGCATCCGGGGGTACACCAACTCATTCATTCACGCCAACGAATAAACACAACACGATCACATAGATCGCCAGACGCTGGAATTTCCCGGTGCCTATGAACAAGACGTCAAGTCTTGACTTTCATTCACGGCACGGGTCAAGATCCGCAGGAGGCCAAAAAAAAAAAAGGATAGATTACTGGGTCAAGACCTGACCCGGACTCGAACCGAGCTCTCCTGCGGAACTCCTGAATAACTTCTTTAAAGTGAGCAGGCGCATGAACCATTATGCTGTCAGATCTTTCTGAAGACCGGAATACGACTTTACTCAACGCAGCTGTATAAACACCCAAGCGCAGGACACGGACACCCAAGAGCAAGACACGGACTCGGACACACAAAACACCCACGAATAAAACCCAAGACACATAACGGATACCAACAACAACGACAACAACAACGAAAACATAATCGATTTTTAAACAACTGACCCACCCAACCACCCAACCACCCAACCAAAGCCACACTAAAATAGCAATCACCATCGCCCGCTGTTGAGCGTCTCCAATGTCCACGCTCCCTTCGCTCCCTCTCCCTCTACGTACCCGTGCAAACGAACGCAATGCTAAAACCCCCTCCGCCCACCAAACGCGAACCCCGTCCCTCCTCCCCCCGTCGCACCCGCACCCGGTGTCGCAGCTGGCGTCGCGCCGAACGAAAACCCGCCTCCCCCTCCCCCACCTCCTCCTTGCGATTGTGCCGCGGGCGCACCGAACGCAAATCCACCCTGTGCCGGCGCCGGCGCACCGCCAAACGAAAACCCTCCTTGCTGAGGTTGAGAAGCAGCAGCCGGTTGGGAAGGTTGCGCACCAAACCCAAACTGCTGCGGACTCGCCGTAGGCCTCACCACCGGCGCTGCAGCACTACCAAAGTTCATCGTCCGCGCTTGGGTTGGTGCGCTCGCAAACAAACCGCCGCCCCCGAGTCCGCCCCCGCCGCCGACAGTTTGCGGTTGGTTTGCAGGAGCGCCGAATAGACCCCCGCCCACCGGTTGCGCAGCGCCGAATAAGCCTGGGGCGCCGAACGCGTTTGCGGGGGCAGCGGGGGTGAGCGTGAGCGAAGGTTGTGATTGCGAGAGGGAGGGTGCAAGGGAGGAGGACAGGGAAGGGGCGATGGAAGAAGGGGGCGCGGATGTGACGCCCGCAAGAATTTGCGCGGAGGTGAGTTCCGCGCCGGTGCGGAGGAAGGAGAGGCGGAGTTCCTGGGGGTTGCAAAGATGCGCCGAAAGGGACGAGGTGTCGGGAAGGCAGGGAGGGCAGGAGGTGTGGATGTGTGGAGGGAGGGTGGGTGAAGGTGTGAAGGTGTGGAGAGAAGGTGGATTTAGATTTGAATGAGAACGAGGTATGAGGCGTGAGGTGCGAGTCGTCGCGGGTTGGATTTGGGTTTGAACGTGGATATGGGGATTGGGGAAGGGACGTGCACGAGAGGGAGGGAAGACGGCATGCAGAAGAAGACAGTAAAGCGATGGGAATAAATGAGAGGAAAGTGGAGTGAGATATGGGTGAGTCGCAGCAGGACGTGCGGAGTACGATTTGGAGGAGATCCAAGTGGAAGTACGTGTTTGTTTGTGGAGGAACGGGTGACGGATGCGCAGAAGGGAAAAGTGGAGCGACGGGGGTGGGAGAAAGAAGGCAAAGGAGATACGGATCGAAGATGGAAAACAGGACGGTTCGCCGATGCGTGGAGGGAGGAGATGGGGCGAGGAAGCAGACCAAGACAGGAATGCGTCGCGGAGAGGAGAGGCACATATGGAGGCACGACAATGCGCGATGGAAAGAAAGAGTGAGGAGGACGAATCGGGGGAGTGGCAAACGCGCGAGAAAAGAGCAGCGGAGTGGGGAGAATGAAGAACCCGTCAGCACTACCCCAACCCCAAAGAAGAAGCACGCACCTCCACACTATGCCCTGCAAACTCTGGCCGACAAACGATACTCTGATACTGGTCGCCGTCCTGCGGCGTCGCGCCCTGTGCGCTATTACTGAAAGCCGACGCCAAACCGAGAGCGGCGGCGGCAGAAGAGGAGGAGGAGAGTGTGAGCGAGAAGGGTGCGGCGCCTGGGGGTGCGGTGCGCATGCCGCGCATGTAGGCGTAGTAGCGGAGTTCCTGTGAAGTGGCGAGTGAGCACAACAGGTAGTAACTTAATGAAATAGCAAGCGACGGAAGAGAAGTAGGGAAGCAGAGCAAAGAGAAGGAGAGAAACACACCTCATGACTCCAATGGACATACTCCCCCGCCGCCGCAATGCTCACAAACACCTCGCGCTCCGTGGTCCCTGCCCCCGGGACCACCACAGGCTGCGCGAACGTCTGCGGCAGCGGCAGGCGCGCGGGGTCCGTGATCGCCGCTGCAGTACTCGTACTCGCTGCCGCCGAGGGAACGCTGACGCCGCCGAAGAGCGAAGTGGGTGCGGTTGCGGTGGGTGTCGCGGATGTGCTGCCGACACCGGGAAAAGGCGCGGGGACGAAGAGCGGGGGCAGCTGTTGCGCTGCACGCATGGCGGGGTCGAGGGGGTACGGCGGGGACGGCTGGGGTGGGCGTCCTGTTGCGCGGAAGGCGGTCAGGTAGTCGGCGATGCGTACTTCCTGTAGCGACGATTATTCAGTCATTTTGAGACGAGAAAAGACACGGAAAGGGGGACCTCGAATGACTGAGACTGGGGCCCGGGAACGCAGGATATTTGAAGGGACATGCATGTCTCTGTTGACGGCGCTGGCGCAGACGAGAATAACGACATGGAAGAGCGGGAGAACAAGGGTGTGTCACGCACACGTGCACTGTGACTGGAGTGACTCGACCGGTCCGGCACCGCCGTGTATAAACGGCGTTCTACCACCTCAAGTGACTGCGGTGTGGTTGGAGTCACCTTTCACGCTGTAGGCAGGGGCTAAAGTTCGCCCGGAAATCTGGCCTTCGAGAGAAGCAATCGAGACAAATTCGAGAAATCAGGTTGAAGCTTGACCGAGCAGCTGAGAAGGCAGAAATGGCCGGTTGATTCTCAGCAAGTTCCCCGCGCAGAGCGTACTCCTGCCAATATTTATGGAGCGCTAACTATGCTAACTAAGTTCGATACGACGACCACCGAAATCTCGGTCGAAAGTGACACACCGTCGTTCACCACGATGCATCTCACTCCCCCAAGATGAGACGTTGCATCGGCCTGAGAGCTCCCCCACCCGCTTCATGATAGTCGGAAATCGGAGCGAGGGAGGTTCCTGTTTGATTCGGGGTCAGGCCATGTTCTCTGCAATCACTTTTTTTTCGCTCATTCTTACAAGGCTTTCACGGGGTGAGTCGCATCCTAATCTCTGCTCCGTTTAAGTACTCTATTCTCACAGCGAGCATCGCTGTGGCGCTTCAGCTCCTTAGAGAATGCAACAGCGAGCGTCTAGAATAATTAGTATTGTACAAAAAGGCAAATATCGACGACTTATGGCCCAGTCCCGGGTCGAACGGGAGGTTCTGTGCTTGGTACGTCGCCAATTGGAAATGAACGACAGATGCGCGCTGCGCGCAACCGAGCCGTGCACAGTGACACCGCCTCTTGGTCTTGTTGAGTACTTTTGAGTGGGGGTCGAGTTAACTCGACGTCTCGGCGCTTCTGCTTCGTTGGAGTTGACGGCAACGAGAAGGTCAGATCCTGGCACAGAAACAGAAGGCCAATTCAATCACACATCTAAAAAAGAAGGACTGTGGTGGGCCGGCTGTCTGCCTCAGTGGCTCAGTCCCGAGTCGAACGGGAGGTATTCTGCTTGACACGTTGCCAATTTCTTTCCAACAATGAAGGACAGATGCGCGCCATGCGCAACCGAGCCTTGTACAGTATCCCGATTTCTCGGACTTGTTGGATTCTTTTGGGAGCCGACCGGCCGAGCCACCAATGCAGAAACAATTTGTCACTATATGAAATGAAGACAGAGAGAAAAGAAAGGTAAGTCAGAACGAAAAAAACTTACACCTCTCATTATTATGGCTCAGTCCCGGGTCGAACGAGAGCTCCTTACGCGTAACCAATTCAGCGCCAGCCGACTGGGTACTGCGCACCGCAGAGCCTTGCACATTGGTTTCGTCCAGCCTGTATGATGGAGCTGTTCAAACGGAGAACGGTTTCTATTTTCATAGCGCCATTGGTATCGAGCGGCTGAGCCTCGCCCTAACGCGTCAGCAGTCATCTAGCTGAGAACGAGTATTCTACAAAAGAAAAAGAAAACGAGAAGCGCTACCATTCATGCTCAGTCCCGAGTCGAACGGAAGGTATCTGCGTATCATACATTACACGGGTTTACCATGAATCACAGAAGCGCGCCGGGCGCAACCTGGCCTTGCTTGAGTGCCTTGGTTTCTTAGACTTGACGATCGAATCGCCCAAACGTTTGGTTGAAGTTGACGATAACAAGGCATCGCTGAGCTCGAGATCCGGATGCCAATTCTGGCGTAGGAACAAGAAGGGCAATCCAACCACACATCTATGGATTTCTATGAAATCTCTCCACACAGAATGAAGCGGCACGAGAACGAAAAACAAGGCGGTTTTACCTGTTCAATGCTCAGCGCCGGCTCGAACGAGAGTTTGCTAGGTTTAATACATTGATTCAGTCACGGTCGCATTTAACTGCGTGCTGCGTACCACAGAGCCGTGCGGATTGGTATTGTTGCGTGTGATGGTTCTGTTCTCGAAATCTGACAAGAGTTCAATCCGTCAGAATAACGACAAGAAAAAAAAGCCTCTTACAACTTCATCGAATAGCCGGCCCTGAGTCGAACGGAGCACCTACCTAGTATAGGGTAGGTAAGAGAGGCGCTCCACGCACCACCTGCCTTCGTACGGTACCTTGCTGCTGTTAGCTTTCAAGAATGAAGGAGAACTTCCCGGGAAATAAGAAGCTAGGCATCTCGGCCATCAGCAAGCGTGTAGACGAAAAAGAAATTCCGAGTAGAACCAAGGGGAGCTGGGGCGAGATCGCGAGCGTCGTAGATTCGGTTCAGGTTTTGAACACTTGAGAGCATTGGCAGAGGCCGAAAACGAACTAGCCTAGCCAGCCGATATTCTGCAATTTTGGCTATCTCGTTTGTGGTGTCTGCCGCCGATCAGCCATTTGACAACACCTGTTATGCCCACGAAGCCCCGCTAGTTAGCGGTGGCAGAGTAGTGAAGTTCCACCGCTAACAAGCGGGGATTGATCTCGGCTGTCGAGGGAGGCTTGATTATCGTTAGCTCTCCCTCGCCAACAGGTGATATCTATGTATGGCGTTGCAAGTCATGGCCCAGCCCCGAGTCGAACGGGAGGTATTCTGCTTGAACCGGTGCTACGCTCGCAAATGAACGACAGATGCGCGCCATGCGCAACCGATCCCTGCACAGTGGTTCGGTTTCACGGACTTATTGGGTGCTTGCGAGTATGGATAACTCAATGTCTCAGTGATTCTGCTCGGTTGGAGTTGACGACAGCGAGAACGGTTGTAATAGAAGGCTGACAGTCAGATCTTGGCATAGAAGCAGAATGATAATCCAACCCAACCATGACACGCATCTGTGAATGTCTATTGGAAATCCCTCCTCACAAAATGAAACGACGTGAGAACGAAAAACGACATCAATCTTGTCTATGACTCAGTCCCGAATCGAACGAGAGGTCGCTAGCTCTGATCCATTATCCCAGTCGCAATTGATTGCGTACCGCGTACCACAGAGCCTTATTGGGTTAGTTTGGACTGTTTGGTGGATCTGTTCCAACGGAGGTTGAATGATTTCTACTCTCCCAGCATTATCGCTGCCAAACGTCGCCCTAACGCCTCACTTGAGAATGCAACAGCAGGCGTACCAATGAGTATTCCACAAAAGAAAAAAGAAAAAAGATTCTCCAGCGTTGTCATGGCTCAGTCCCGAGTCGAACGGAAGTTGTCTGCGTACGTACATATCACCCATACGAACGAGTGACAGAGACGCGCCGTGCGCAACCGAGCCTTGTACAATGACTCGATTTCTTGGACTCGTCGGATGCACTCGAGCGAGGCAATGGGGACTTCCTGCAAACTGCGTGTGATTTTGCCGCACTGGGGTTTATCTCGGGAAATCATCTCGGAGTCCTGCTTCGGCAAAACCATAAGCGAGTGAATAAGGTGACGGAGTCTAAAAAAAAGAACTATGCGTCGTACGTTTTCAATGGCTCAATCCCCGATCGAACGAGAGGCCGCTCGGTCGATTCCATTATCCCCGTCGTACCGCGCACCACAGAGCCTTGCGCATTGGTTTCGTTTGTTCAATATGTCGCATCTGCGAGTGTTCGTGAAGCTAAATGTGTATTCGTCGCACCAATAATACGAAAAATATTCGAGGGGGAATCAGAGGGCAAGAATAAAAACCAGTGTTTCCCCTCTCCATGTAACTGATCCCGAGCCGAACGGGAAGCCTACCGGGAAATTTCGGTAGGAGAGGCGCCATGTCACCGGCCTTTCTTTGTACGGTATCCCGCTGTTAGCTTGCTGGAACGAGCTTGCTGGAACGAGGCAGAATGCCGACATGGAGACTGCATTAGGCTGGAGTCCGAACAAATCACCGGTGTCACAGAGGCTGGGGATCTCGGCTATAGCCAAGCGAGACGAAAAAGAAATCCTGAGTTGACCTGGAGCGAGATCTCGAGCGTCGTAGATTTGGTTCAGGTTGTGATTTTCTGAACACCTCGGAAACTGACGGACCCCCAGGATTCCATTGCGGGTGAGACAGTCAGACGCAGCGCCAGGGTCAAGATAATGAGACGTGAGGTGCCGTGCAAGCTTCAGTGCTGACGGTTGGCTGACGGAAGAACCAAGGTTGAAGTTGGAGGAAGAACGTGATCGTGCGAAGAAAGAGATAGAGGGCAATGTCACAATCAGTGGCAATCACGCGTGACCGGCTTTTTCCTGACGCTCATCGTCAAGCTCGTCGTCTGATTGTGGGGTCGTGCTGGGCGCAAACCACGGCTTGAGTTTTGGAAAGACTCGGTAGCTGAGTACTGAGTACGCGGAATCTCCTTGCTACCAACTGGCTACGCTTAGAATTGTGTGATCTTGGGCAAATAGTGATGTTCAGGGCCCGGCCCGGCCTGAAAGCCGCGGCTTGGGCCCGGCTTCAGCGGGCTTGGGCTTCAGAAATCTCAAGCCCAAGCCCGAGCCCGCGACCAAGGCTTGAAGCCCCAGGCCCGGGCTTCCTCGGGCTTCAAATATTTTGGTTTGGAAACATATCGTGGGGCACCTGTAGGTGTTGAAAATGCTCTGAGTATGCACTGCAGTCATACTGGCCAGGTTCGCTTTCAGAAACAAGCCAGAAAGCAGCTTTCGAACCGAATCAAACCGCCGGGCTTCGAAGCCCAAGCCCGGGGCCTGGCAATTCTCAAGCCCAAGCCCCAGGCCCGCTCAAGCCCTGCGTCGGGCCCGGCCCGGCTTGGTGAAGCCCGGGCCCGGCTTGGTCGGGCTCAGGGCTTGAAGCCGGGCCCTGAACATCACTATGGGCAAATCTTGGGCTCCGAGGGTGTCGGCTCATTCCGGGGGTCTGTCCCTTGCTGGCTGCGTGCATCGACCTCCGGAGGCGTCTGGATATCAGTACACTCTCTTCCGAGCGGATACTGAAACAGCGACTCGGCGAGACAACTCTTCTCTGGGAGCTTTCCGAATTGGGAATTACCGCTGCTTCTTTTGACGCCCACAGACTATCACCACTCTTTGCTGTCCCAAACCACAATGAGCGACCCAGAAAAAGGCAAGGTGGAACACAAAGGTACGTCAATTTCCTTCCATCACGGACAGGGTCTGAGAGCGCATTAGCCACCGATCCCAGCGATGAAGCTGCCTCCAAGCTCTGGGCCGTGTACATATCCGAGGCGGAGAAGTACGACAAGTCGCTCGTCGAAAGCTGGAAGAGCGATATGGAAGGGATGCTTATATTTGTGAGTATCGAAAGATATAATAACATCTGCCTGGACTGAATCTCGCAGGCCGGTCTCTTCTCTGCGAGCTTGACTGCTTTCCTCATCGAGAGCTACAAAACACTTAGCCCCGACTCGGGCGACCAGACAGTGAAAATTCTGGCGCAGATATCCCAGCAGCTTGCGTCCGGCTTCAATGGAACCGCATTTCCGATCTCTGCAGCCCCCACTTTCACGCCATCTTCGACATCCCTCGTCTGCAATGCCCTTTGGTTCATCAGTCTTGGCCTCAGTCTCACCTGTGCCCTCATTGCGACGCTTTTGGAGCAATGGGCTCGGGACTTCATTCACAGGGCCGACATGCGCTCCGCTCCATTGATACGCGCCCGAATCTACTCGTATCTGTACTATGGGATGAAGAGGTTCAATATGCACGTCGTGGTGGATGTAATCCCACTCCTTCTTCACGCTTCCCTCCTCCTCTTCTTTGCTGGGCTCGTGGCCTTCCTCATCCCTGTCAACATAATCATGGCCGCCATCACTGCAATTCTTCTGTTCCTGGTCGCAATGGCATATTCAATCCTCACCTTTTTACCTCTGCTATACACGGACTGTCCGTATCGCACACCTCTTTCTGGCGCATTCTGGCGTTTCTTTCAGCATCTGCGGGTGATCTGGACCCATCACCTTTCCCCAGCGAATGAGGCTATGAGCGAAACGGATCCACCGCACGACGAAACCATGATGGAAGTGATAGTTCGGACAGCCATGGAGGATTCTCCTGCCCGCAGGAAGCGAGATTATCATGCTCTCGTGTGGACTGTGAAATCACTCGCAGATGAAACTGAGCTGGAACCTTTCGTGGATGCTCTCCCGGAAGTACTTTGGCGACCATACCGGCCACGAGATGTATA